GGGGGCTGGGTGGTGGCAGGCTTGCCCCTGGCATGGGCATCGTAGCCAGCCCGTGCCCCTTTAAGGAGTCCGGGGCCGGGAGGGAGGCATACGAGTTTCCCTGGTGTTGGCCAGAGTGGCCACCAGGGAAAGCTGGGGAGGGCTAGCCTCCCACCGGTTCGAATTAAGGGGCTACACACCCCTTAATTCGAACTAGTAAGTTCGAACTAGGCTTAGTCCTCGTACAATGAGGTTTACCTAGTTCGAACTAAGCGCTCTGCTAGTTCGAATTAAGTTCGTACTAGCGGAGCGCTAGTGTAGCGCCTATCAAAGTTAATTCGAACTAACGTCTGTTAGTTCGAATTAATTGTGTAGTGTAGACATACCCTGAGAACGGTTATCCAGCCAGTTATGCACCCATCTTATAGTAGCCCCATCTAAGTTGTTTTTGTCTAGTTTACTGATAAGAATATCACGCGAGACATTATCAAATCAAAAGACAAAGTTAACAGTGTTTAGTTGTAATTTAAATAATTAATGCCCTTTGGCTTAATTCTGTATGTATGACATTCTTATATATTGTTGCATACTTTTCTTTCTAATAAATACCCCTTACTCAAGTGATGGTGGGAGGGCTTGGCAGTAAGTTTGGGCTGTATATTACTGCATTGACAATTTATGCAGTGTGCTTGTCAGTTTGTTCAATTGATGTAAAATCTTAAAATTATAAAGAAATTTATAAGAGAGATTCTTTTTTGGAACACAGGCTTAAAATGTGGTTTAATAAACTTTATATTTCTTCTGTTTCAGACTCCAGGCAGAGTTGGGTCTCAGAGCTCAGATTCAGATTCCTCTGCAGCCCCAGGAAATGCAGTAGATGTGAACAACGAAAGCACTTCAGAGGTATGGTAGGATAATATATGGGACTGGGTTCCTTCATTTGGAACCTGATTGACCTCTCTTTGAAATAGTTGGGAACGTTAATTAGTCAAAATCTGTTTAAATGGACAAAAAGATGCACATATATTGTACCAGGAAATGAACAAATATTTCATATCAATAGCATACATGCATTAGTGAATTGAACCTGTCAGGTTTGCTAGCTTAAAATGAGCAGACATATTCTCAATAGGCTTCATATGAATAGTTAGCATAGTAAAATGTCAGTTCATATGCAGTTAAGAATGAGAAATATATAAAATATGTTGTTAATATGAAATAATTTCTTCACAGAACTTTGGGACATGAATTTGGGTGAGGTATCAGTGATTCTGTATTTGACATCACAAAGACCCTGCACATTGGTGTAATATGCTTCAGATCAATCAAGAATTGTTAATGAATTGTGTGGTATATGCATTTTTATGCAGTCAAGCTGCTCTGAGGACTGATGAAGAGCTCAGGCATAGTCCTCATGCCTCACTGGCTTTTTCAAGCTACTCTTTCCTTAAGAAATGCCTAACTAAGTTCACTAATGCAGTGATTCGTGGATTGCTCCTATAACATAATATCCGTATGTTTGAAATTCCCTGTAGGTATGTAGTTATATAGTAGTTTAGTTATAACTACCTGCTGTACTTACAGTGCTTGTGCATGTTCACACTACCCTGTTTGTGTCAGTGGAGTGCATCCATGGTTTGAGCTGTAGCATCGAGAGAGAGAGAGCAGTGCACTGTGGGTCTCTATCCCATTGTGTAACTCACCACCTTTTGCTGCTAGGATTTGTGGGACTAGGGAGTGGATCATAGTGCATCATGGATGCGGGCTTACCATTCCATGATGTATTTTTTCTGTCCCATCATTCCATGGGCTTCGAACTACGTTTTGCACTGTTTTTTCAACAGCCCGTGTAAACTGTGCACGTCCTAGCTCTGCACGAAAGAATGGATCTTGCACTGCTCGTCACTTTTTTAGGAAGTGTTATAAACAGAACATGGCTGATCATGCAGTCGTTCATGAGCTGCGAAACCTGAACAGGAATCCGTGATGTCTGTCTTGCTGAGTGCCTATGGAAATAAACAATTCCAGATTACTTTTGTCATTTGTGAAGCAGCTGAACAAGTTGGACCATTGCTTATTGGGCTTCTGAAACAAGCACTAAGTGGTCGGATCACATTGTTATGCAGATGTGGGATGACGGGCAGTGGCTACAGAACTTTTAGATGTGAAAAGCCACCTTCCTGGAAGTGTGTACAAAGCTCAGCCTTTCCATGTGGTGCAAGGGCATCAAAATAAGACCTGCCCTCTCTGTGGAGAAACATGTGGCAATTGCTGTGTGAAAATTGGCAACTCCAGACTGCTGTCAGTCAGTAACAAATCAGTTTGGAGTTGGAAGTCAGCCATGGTGTTGCGTTGCAGTCAAGTGTGCAGGACCATTAGTTGCATCTTGCTAAGATAGACTGTGTCTCTGGGAAATGTGCAAGAAATAGTGGATGGCTTTGTGGCAAGGGGATTCCCTAACTGCAGCGGGGCAATGGATGGCACACACGTCCCAGTTTTGGCCCCTGATCATCTTGCAAAGGAATACATCAATAGAAAGTGCTACTTTTCTGTGATATTGTTGGTGCTTGTGGATCACCAGGTCATTGCACTGATACCAATGCTGGGTGATTAGGGACTGTGCATGAGGCATGCATCTTCAGACCTGTATAGAAGCTGCAAAGATGGTCTTTCCAGACTGGAAAATTCCACTGGGGGATGTTGAAATGTCCACAGTCATCCTGAGGGATCCTGTCTACTCTTTACTTCCCTGGATCCTTACAGTAGAAGTCTTGACAGCAGCAAGGAGCCCTTAACCTCAGGCTGAGCTGGTGCTGAATGACTGTTAAATGTGTCTAGCCTATTAAAGGCTCACTGGCTTTACCTGTGCATCTGAGAGAGTGAGGTTTTTGCCCATGAAAGCTTATGCCCAAACAAGTGTTAGTCTTTGAAGGTGCCACAGGTCTTCTCTTTGTTTTTGTGAATACAGACTCACATGGCTACCCCCTCTGATACTTGGCTTTACCTTAATGTTTATTGCAGGTTAGACCTCAGTGAGGAAAATATTCCCATGGTCACAGCAGCTTGCTGTACTCCACATAATGTTTGTGAAGCTAAGTGGGAAAAGTTTCCCTAGGAGTGGAGCATTGAGGTGGATTGGTTGATGGCTGATTTTGAGTAGCTGGACACTAGGGCTATTAGTGTGGCTCAAAGGGCAGCTATTTGAATCAGAGAGGCTTTGAAGAAGCATTTTGACAGTGAGACTTAGTAATATGTCTTTATGAAATGCATTCTGTCAGACTTACTTTCTGCATGGAATGACCATTGTGGTGATTGGCTCCTGAGCTTGAGTTATAGTCTGAAAATATGGCGCCTGCCACTGTGTATGAATTCCAGTAGCAACAACCATGCGTAGGAGAAAAATATTCATTTTCTTTGAATATGTTTTATTAAACATCCATAACCAGTACACAGAATTTGATTTCCTGAATGGGACGTGACACTGAGGAGCACTCCCTTATTGGAGGCTCTCATAGCTGTGTATAAGTCCAGCTGTTGTTAGGGAGCTTACCTGAAAGGTTGGTGTGAAAGGGGTAGTATGACAGTCTGGAAAGATGTAAGGAATGTGTGTGGGGAATTTGGGAAGGGCCTGACACTCAGTTCTGTATAAGCTGCAAGTGGAGGAGAACATGCGTGTGTTTGACTGAAGTGCAGTCAGGGACTTAAGCATCTCTGGTCCTCCATCAGTTTTATCATTTGCTGATGACCCCTAAAATACACTCTTGGCTTCCTCTCCAGGCTATGACTGCAGCACCTCTCTAAACATGTCCTTCTTGATAGCCTCCCTAGCTGACAGGGGTGCTTCCCTGGTGTGTGCAAGGGGTTCCTCATCTGGGCACATCTGCAGAAACACAGGAAGAGGTGTAAGAGAAAGTAATGTGAGTGCATTCACAGTAGTGAATGATTACAGGGCTGCTTCACCATCTTGTTCAGAGCAGCTACTGCCTCCAGCTACTATAGCTACTGCTTAACGGGGAAGGCTTACTGGTTAAATCTTCACATTCCTAGTAGACATAGACCTAGTATTTTACAATAGCTATGTCATGATACATTATGTATAATAGGCTCCATTGTAGTGTGAAGAAGTGGCAAAGGCCTAGCAAAACTGATAAAACCAATTAACAAAATGAATGTACTGTCTAGTGCTAAAGCTCAGCGTCTGAGCTATATTTTGTTTTCATTCACTTAACTTTCTGTTTGTCTTCTCTGTGTTTTGGACTCATGATCAGCAAATTTTCATCTCAAGAACTGAAAAGCACAAAACACCAGCTTTGTTTCTTGCATCTTAACAGTACCATGAATTTTAAGAATTCCAATACCTATTTGACACTTCTAAGTGGTCTTTCTGTTTATATTCTTAGTTTTTAAAAAATGTACCTAAAAGTTACTGTTTCACAGGGCTTCATCTGTCCGCTATGTATGAAACTGTTTGTAAGTGCCACTGGTCTGTCTGAACATTACCAGAATGAACACATTGGGACAGAGACAAGAAGACAGGAGCATCATGACCTGCCCGCTGTTACTGTGGGTCTTATTTATTTTGTTTGAGTGGCTTGGTAATGGGTTGCTTAAAATAAATGACTTTCCTCTTTGGTTGCTTGGGTACCAGCTTCTTTCACTTTGTTTTTTGTGATTCCCTGCATGTTTACAAGAACGTGTCTCTTGGGATGCTGCTTATTGTTATCTTTCTTGTATTCAGCTATTTCTCATGTGGAATTTCTGTAATATCAGACATTTGCATTCACTTTTTTGAAACGTATTTTGCATGAATTTTCTATTAGTTAATGTACTTTACTTCTCCATTCCTCACAATAATGAACCTAAGTATAACATTTGGGAAATTGTTTATATAGTTAAATATTTTAGAATTTCTTTTTAGAATTTCTTCATTGCTTTTAAGACTGACTTTTAATGTGAATCTAACTTTGAGGTACAGGTATAATGCACTTAGGAGGAGATATTTTAATAATCTTCGGGGTAGGGAGAATAGGAACATTTAGAAACCAGAATTTTCCCTTTAAACAATTTGATAAGGAGCTTCAAGCTCACTGACAAAATCACAATAAAAACTTCTTTTATAAAACAGTTTGTTGAGATTTAGAACACAGTTAGTATTTGATGTCTCTCCCCTGCAAATATAAACCCTTTTTGTTTAAGTAGCTCTTATGTTTAAAAGTATATTTAACAAATCTTTCATCCTTCAGTGTGGTGTTAATTTAATGGCAATCAATCCTCTGGTTAAATTGAGTCATTTTTTCTTCAAAGCCCATGGACATCAGGTAATGAAGCTATCAGTTGCATGACAGTCATGTGCCTAAATCATCAGAAAGGTGCAATCACTTCTCTTCATTCCCATCTTCCCTCTGGGAGAGAAACAACCCCAAGCCACCAGGTTCTACCTTTTCTCGGAAATAGTGAATGTCTGCTGTAAGAAAAATTATTTCCATTCAGGGAAAACAGAACTGCTGTAGAAGAATGGGAATAGGACTAGGTGATTTTTGGCCCTCTGATGGCCATATGGTTTGATATACAGGTGGACCTATTTGCATTACGGAGCAGCAAAGAAAATTATAGCATTTGACTCCAGGTATTGGCACTGGTGAACACTGAGGATACTTTTCCCTGGGATTAACCTAGCTAATGTGTTTTTCTCTACTTCTGTTATGTTCTAGGAAGATCACAGTGGCCAGGTGAGCCTTATTTCACATAGATGGGTATCTGCAAAATGTGGAACTGCTATTTCCATTCAGGGAAAACAGAACTGCTGTAGAAGAATGGGAATAGGACTAGGTGATTTTTGGCCTTCTGATCTTTAAGAAAATCTAAGATTTTGGGGATTGGGCTTTTCTCCACTTATTAAATGA